CCAAGAAAATGAAAAAGAATTTCAATAATAAATAGATGTAATTAATGCAAGTGATTTTATGACGAAGGAACTTAAATTACCAATTGTTTAAAAATACAAAATTTAAACCCGTAATCACTTAGATTTTCATAAAAAGAAATAAATATTTAAAAGCTTTAAATGATATAAAAGTGAGATAACAATTATTTGGACTAGAGGACACTTATGCATTAGTCTTAGTAGACTTAAGGGTCTTCTTGAAAAATATCCCAACATATTAGAGTGACATCTACAATTTGTTTCTAAGAAAAAAAAATCAAATTAATTGTGTTTGTAATTTTATTGTATTATATATTAATTAGTCTCTTAATTTGTTTTATTAAAGAGATTGATTATCTAATATACAATAAACCATCAAAAAGGAATTTTTAATATGGGCATTAGTATTTACTTTATCTTGTAAATCCTTGCTGTCTAATATTTATTTTAATTAATATATAATCGTAATAGGAATCCAATCTCTCAATCAAAACCATGTGGAACCAAAATACATAGCATTTGAAAATCCTTTTGAGGCTTGTGTTCTTCTAATTTGTCATATGCAAGAAACCACATATTTTCACAACACTACTTATATTTAATACTATTAACATATAACCAACATTTTTATACAATCATCATAAAGAAAAAAAAGTTAATAATATAATTATATTGAAAGTCTTGAAATCACATCGTTGTCACTGTGGGTTATCACTTTCCACCTCTTCGTAAGTCTATTAACTTCCTTCAAATTTCCCTTTTCTTACCTATAAAATTCCACACATTGACTAAATACAGACATCAAGCTTATAAAATGAGACATGTGTAACAAATTAATAAGTTTTAAATAAATATAACAACTAATCTAGTAATTTGATTATTAATAAGATAATGATGCAATACAACTCTTAGTAGATTCAACATTTTGGTTAGCTTGTGCATGGTATGGAATTGTCCATTAGATTTTGATTGGAGAGCTAAATTTGAAGAAATTAATATGGAAGCCTATACGGATATTGGGTTGCATATAAGAATTGATTCATGATTAGAATATGTGTTAAAGATGGGGTGTTCTACATCTAGTCATACCTTTTCCTCTAGTATACTTAATTCCTCTCGCTTTAGTTGGCATATTATTATATATAATAATGTTGTTAAAAATTATTACTTCATGTGAGTCAAAATCATTATAAGAAAAAATGGAATTAATGATGGAGGATTCATCGATAGTAACAACATTTCAGCAATAAAATCAAAATTTTGAAAGAAAAGTGATGGAAAAAATTGTCAGTAAAATATACTAATAGTTATGAGATATCTTATGATAATTATCTATTACCAAATATTTGTTTGAAACTATTCATCAATAACCATTGACAAGAATTGAATGCGGATTAATAATGTCTCATTTAATGTTAATTCTTTTGTGAATAACTAACCTAGAAAACAAATTTTACTATCAAAATTGATTGAAATTTATCAAAAAAAAAAAAATTATCAAAGTTCAAAAGAAATTGTAAAAAATTTAAAATCCATTTTATCGATGAAATTTATTAACGAACTAAATCATTCAATTACCAACATATTCATCAACATATTCATCATAAATAGAATTTATTAACAAATTCATTACGACATCAATATCTATCAATAATAAAAATTCCAAATTATTTACATAAATACTTGTCAATAGTAAAATTTTTAAAGTCCATCAATAAACTTTACATTCTAAGAAATTTTTATTCGTTAGTTAGTAAAATTTCATTAATATATATATATATATATGGGGTTTGCTAACGCCCTGTTCAGTTGGTACATTTTAGCAATGTGTACCGGGTTGTCGTAAGACAAAACTATCCTATATTATCATAGATTCTAAGTTGTAAGGTTAAGGGTTATTTTATAACAACAAAAAATTTTCATGAGTTTTCATCTTATCATTGTTGTCTTATCTAATTTTATCCATCTTCACAAGCTATAATTGGTAGTGACCTGGAAAAAAAAATCAGAAAATTATACAAATTCTACAACAAAACTGATTTTTTCTATGAGTTTTATTTATTATAATGGTTTGTTCTTATCTAATTTTATCTTTTTCACAAGCATAATGACATCAAAGGAAATTGGAATTTGCGTGGAAAAAAATCGAGAAAACATCGGTGTATAAAAATTTTTACACAATAAATGATTTATATGTTATCCATATAATATATATATATATATTTATATATATATATAATATATATATATAAGGTCTTAACTGCGCTTAGGGTGCTAAAAATTGAGGTTTACAAAATAACTATTAACATGTTGTATAGTTAAAAGTGCTTAAAATGTACCAACACTAAAAAAAAACAAACAGCGCGTTGGTTTGTAACCTCATATATTATATATATATATATATATATATATATATAATATATATATATATATATATAAAAAGCGTAGAGCATAGTTTAATCCTAATGTTATTATCAATGAATTTGTTCATCTGTAAAATATTTATAATTTTAAAATTATAAATATTAATAAATTTATCATCTAAATAATTTTAATTTAATTTATACTTTAGTTAAAATTTCTCACAAATTAGTGAAGAAAAGACTCCCAATGAATTCTTTTAACAATTAATTAAAATTATAACTTTAATTTAATTCATAAATTTATATTTTCCTATATATTTGTGTGAAATATTTCCTACCCAAAATGGGGAAGGAAGAACTAGTACTTTGGTAAAGAAATTCCCTACTGAAGGAACAACAACAAAATAACACATCTTTGCTATTTTCTGCTTCATTTTTACATGTTTTATACATTAAATATTACTAATTTTCAGGATTCTAAATATATTGTAATTATTTATTATCCATATTTATTGATTTTTTTGATCAATCAATTAGAGAGTGTCAATAATTTCTTTGTTATATTCAAATTCAATTCAATTTTTTTTTATTGAAATCCATCAATGCAGCACTGTGTTTGTATAACACATCGTGAGTGATCATTCTAACTGGTTACTGCACCAGATTAATCTCTTTCCATAAGCACGACTTCAAAAGTGATTCTGAGATACTACTACTAAAACCCTCAAACCTTAATCAAATTATTAATAAAAAAGCAAATAAAAGTGCTTAATAAATGCATACTAAAGCCTTAAACATATTCCATAAGGGAAATCAACCAAAGTCTTCTCTTTTTGAATGCAGTAAAAACAATTACCAAAAAGAAAAGGTTGATATTTTGTGACAGAAAGACAAAAAAGAAAACACAGGTCCTTCATTTGGGCTATACATTCCATTAACAATGATTACACGATGTTCACTTTCTGCCATTGTTGGTCTTCTCAGAGATTGTCCTAACCAATAATTCAAGCCTTCTTTCTTCTCTCACTACACCTTATCATTAAAGTCTGCATCACTTCAATTATTGCAATCATCTCAAAACCACCATATATTGCATCTCTTCACTTTCTCTATCTTATTCTTTTTCTCTTCTTACAAATAAACATATCAATAAGATCAAAAATTTAATATTCTATGCAAACTGCAATCCTTACCTGTATTTTCCGAATACGTATGATAACACAGGATGCAAAAATATCATAACAAATGTATTTACTTATTTCATATTTCAAAAAATTATAATCCAATTCTTAAATTGATATGTAACACAAACATTATTTCAAATCTGTATTTGTGTGATATTATATTTTTTTTTATCAAAAGTAATTCTCCTTTCTCTATATTAATTAAATTAAGAGTATAATCAAAAAATCATGTAAAAATTTGACTATTAAAGAATAATGAAAAAAAAACACTAAGGACGTATTTGTTTCTGCATATAGAAACTTTGTAAGTACAAAAATGCAAAGAAAGTTAGAAAATTGACACAACAGTTCACAAAAGACAAGATAAAATTATCCATTCAACTTTCATTTTTATCCATATTAAGATATTTTTTTAATCTACTAAATACATCCCATTATTCATCTCAAATTCACTCATTTTTATTCTTCAAACCCACTTTTCAATCCAAACACAAGCTAAATAAGGAGTTGAGATTTTTTTAAATGGATGAATGTGGTATTTTTAAAAATATTTTAAATATGATGTATAATCTAAAAATATCACATGATAAAAAGGAAGATTGACGTGTTTATACATGCTGGTAATGACTACCCGTGTTCGGAAACAGTGTAATAAATCACATCAAATAACAATAACACCATACTGTGTGATAACCAATTGCATTCATGAAGTTGATGTTTAAAATCGATTTTTCAGTTATTTTATAATTGATTTTAATTCCACAGAAAACAAAGCTAAGTAAAGAGCAGTTTTATCATTCTTTTATTAAAAAGACTACAATATATTGATCCAAATAGGTATTTGTAGACACGAGAATAAATTTTGATAATTATCAAAATAAGAAGCGTGAAGATAAGGAAAATCATATTTATGATGATGGGTTATCAAACTCCAAACACTAAACAGACACAATGTTCATGATGTTGTTTTTTTGTTAATGAAAGTTTATTTCTCAGTTTACACAGAAGGTTGTGGTCACTGTTGGAAGCCACCTGTGTGATTGGTTATTTTATTTCCATTGACCACTTATTTCTCAGTTTTTTGGACTTAAGAATTGGAAGAGAAGAACCAAACCAAATTCAGAAAGGAAAAACAATATAAGGATCAGGGCATGACAAACGTTGTTGCAACTACCTCCACATATTAAGAATGCAACTCCACAGACACTCACAGAACAGGCAAGAGTCATACATTAACGTTGTTGATTATAAAACTGACATATAAAGTAGAAAATAGTAAAAAAAAAAAAGTAGTATTTAGGTGACAAGAAAAAATAAATATGATGTGGTAGGACAGAGTGATTATTGACAGAGAAATGTCTTGAGAGAAAACATTGTATGTCATAGGATTCATTCTTGCACCACTCTGGTGTGTGCCTTTTCACACTCTCACTTTCGTTTAAAAACATTCATCATACTCAGTAGTAGTAATACATAGAATTACAAATACTCATTCTCTCTTGGGAATTTCTCAAACCACACAATCTTTTTTCCATTTTCAGATGGAGTTGGCTTTGAGCTTAGGCCACACAAACAACGCTTCAATGGGGTTTTCCGTGGCACTGTCTCACGACACAAGAGCTTCCTCAGATCCACCCCTTCAGCTCCACCACCTTCTTCCTTCAACACCGGTTCTTCCTTCTCCACGCCTTCCCATTCCATGGCTCTCCCATGCATGTAAAAACACTCATATCATATCCCTTCGTCTTAATTAATCTCTTCTTTCTTTCATCGTCTCATGTGTCTGCATGTTTCTTCCTATAACAGTAGGCATGGAAGACACACCGGTGAGGGCGCTTGATGACACGGACGACGGTGCTGCAGTTTCGTCCCCCAACAACAGTGCAGTGTCGTCTTTTTGCAGAAACAGTAGAAAGTTTTTTGAGGGTGACAGCGAAGAAGACGAAAACGGGTCAACAAGGAAGAAACTCAGACTCTCCAAAACACAATCAGCTTTTCTAGAAGACAGCTTCAAAGAACACACCACTCTCAATCCCGTTAGTAACTCTCGCTTTCCTTCTTTCATTGTTTCAACCAAGGTACTGTTATAGTTCTTATTCTTTCTGTAAAAAAGTGCAGAAACAGAAACTCGTTCTTGCAAAAGAGTTAAATCTGCGTCCCCGTCAAGTGGAGGTTTGGTTTCAGAACAGAAGGGCAAGGTAATTAAGAACTTTCTGAAACCATGTTTGTTGCTTTTTGTTTCCTTTTTCTTTTTCTGATGAAAACACGATGATTACAGAACAAAGTTGAAGCAGACAGAGGTGGATTGTGAGTACTTGAAGAGGTGCTGTGAGAGTCTGTCAGAAGAGAATAAGAGGTTACAGAAGGAACTGCAAGAACTGAGGGCTTTGAAAACTTGTGAACCGTTTTTCATGCAACTTCCGGCTACCACCCTCACCATGTGTCCCTCCTGTGAACGCGTCGCCACCACCACCTCCGCCGCTGCTTCCGCCAACAACAATGATCGTGTTTCTCTGAACAAGCCCAGAATATTGTCAGGCCCACACGAAGCAGGCCCACATGGCCCATCGGAGTGTTTCTTCTGATTGGCCTATTTTTGTTGTTTAGGTATATATCATAACAATAATGTGTATCAAAGAGACAAAAGACTTTCAACTTCATCCCTTATTTTCCTTTATGTATAAAATGTCACATTTTCTAAAACTTTTACTTATTCTTTCTCTATTTCTTTTTCTTCTTCTCCTTATTCAATGGGAAGAATGATAATTTCTTTTAGACCTTTGAGGAACTACCAACTATTTGAGTTGTAATAATTTTCTTATAATGTTTTCCATCTTACACTTAACTTCTTTCTCTCTTCTTTTTATATGTAAGAAAACAACATATACATAATTTATACACGACTATAATTTCTCTAGTTATCTTGTCAGTAGAAATGTGAAACACATCATTACTTCTTTTTTTATAATGTCTTATATTAGGTTGTTTGATGATTATAATGTAGGAAAAATACTTATTTATCACCCATTACTATTATTTGACAAATCTTTATAGAAGTAAATTAGTTCTAACAAAAGTGATGTTTTGTATTTCTAAAAAAAAAGTAAAAAAAAAAAGATAATACCAAATAGGAGTAAAAAAAAATTGGTGTCAAAAATATCATTGTCTTATCGCATTACAGTTTAAATACTTTGAAACATACTTATAACTCATTTTTAAAATCTTATATAAACATATTATACATGGTCATACACATGGACGAAAAGGTTACAAAACAATCAAGTGACTAAAGAAAGGGTATGTAGGTTGAAACTCATTAATTATTTTTTTAATTATTTGTAGAAACAAGTTAAGCAACATGTACTGAAAGTGTTTTAAGGATAATTCTCAGGGATCAATGCCTTTATTTTAGGAGTTGCATTTCTTACACACGTAATTTTAAGTTTATTTTTATAATATATATGTATATAAAAAAATACAATTACAACGAGTTTTCACTTTAATGTTTCATAATCAGACTACTTTTAAATCATAGTTGTTGAAAATAATTCTTATAAATCAAATGTATTTTGTGTTAAAAATTTATCAAAGAAGAAAGAAGATATATAGTTTCTTGTGTTTTAAATTCAATAATTTTTCTTCATATTTTTTATTTTAAATATTATAATCTTTTTATACAAAAATACATAAAGTTCATATCAAACGAAATAACATTTAATACTTCTTATATGCTTATAAAATTTTTAATTTTTTTCATTTTTTATGATATAAAATATTCCGTAATTTTTTAAAACCTTCATTCTTTCAACTAAGATACCGAAAAAAAAACTGAAAGTCCTAATTGAAAATAAACTATGACTTCAACTAAGTTACCAAAAAAAAAAACCGGAAGTCCTAATTGAAAATAAACTATGACAATTTAAATCATATTTTCCTTTACTTTATATGTGTGAGGACCTGAAAATAGGTGGCACTGATAGGTACTCTGGATTAATGAAGCCAGGCACTTAAAACCCATTAAGGTTAAAAAGCAAATTTTCCAGCAACTGGTTCATTAGCTCAGCCCTTATCTCTCTCTAGATCACTTGTTTTTCATTTTCTCCTCCTTCTCTCTACCACTCCTTCTCATTCAGCCGTTGCATGTTCGATTAGGTGGTGCCTAGGTAATCCTGACGCCGAGAGCTTCAAGTATCACCGATTACTTTCTCGTTTCAGCTAGTGAGTGTTCTTCTCTTTCTCTATGGTTTCTAGGGCTGTGAACATGCAAGTATTCTACTTTGCATGTGATTAGCGATTCTTCCTTCACTTTCTATCTCAAATTAGGTTTTGAGAACCGTTCTTGATCACTGAATGGTGAATCGTAGGGTTCTGTTGAGTCATTTTCACAGTGCAAGGTACTTTAGAGACGCGTGTGTGAGCTGTGATGTTCAACTTTAAGGTAAGGGGAGCTGGTTATATTTTAGGAGCTGTATGAGGTGTCTGTTTGATTTATTTTGATGGTTTTATTGTTATACTATATTTTGATGATGAACATGTTGAGTTGCATTGATGAATATGTGAAATTTGTGTGACTATGGTATACGGAGGTTTGTTTGACTTGGATGAGTGTGTGTTGGCTGTACTGGATTTCTGGAATGGTATAAGAACTCTCTAAAATAGTTAACATGGATATTGAGTGGGTACAAGCACTGTTTTAGGCTACTGTGAGGGGAGTGGAGTATCAAAAATTGGGCAATTGGGGTCTAGAGTACCATAGGGCAGTTTGGGTGACTTAGATAAATAACTGGTGACTTGTTGAGAGTATTGTGTTGGTAGGATAGAGGAATTTTAAAAACCTGAGTTGGCACATCCCTGATCATAGAGCAGCCCTGGCCTGGTCCAGTCAGTTGTGACTAGTCATATGTGCTGGCGTCGAAGGTGAGACTGATGCGTTCAGACATCTAATTCTTCTTCGATGACCAATTGGGTTAGTAAGGTGTTGTTGAGGTGGAAAATCATGTGTTAGTCTTGTTAGAGGTGAAAAGGTTAAGAGAGTATTGTTTTTGGTCCTGTGAGAGGAACTGAGGTAGGGAATTTGAGCATAGGTGGTCTTGAGTGCAATTGGACAGTGTGGCTAGCTTGGATGAGTCCATTAGAGAAGGTTAGGGTCATAAAACTGAGTAAAGTCATGGTTAAAATGGTAGAATCAAAATTGGGTCCCTGGGTTAAGGAACTTGGAAATTTAAGTGGAAAACTTGGTAGTACTCACTTTAGAATCATGCTAAGAACGTTTATAATCATCTAGACAAGTTTAATTAGGTGTGAGACAAGAATTAGGAGGGTTAGAAGTTGGGGAAAATAACTAAAACTGGTAAAGGATGTGTGAGTTTCATAATTATGCAGAATCTGCGTCATGCAGATTATGCAGACTCGCTATGCGAGCTGTCTCGCATAGCGAGACCCTGTAGAGGGTGCTCACTGTCTTGGTAATTCGTTGTGCGAGTTGGTGCGTCGTGCAAATTACTAGGGGGTGATGCTCACTGTTTATGGACTCGCCATGGCGAATCTTGTCGCTAGGCGACTGGTGGTGGTCTGGGATCACTGCCCATTTAATTCGAAGGGCGAGTGGGGCGCATAGCGAGATCTTTGGGGAGGTTGGTCTCTGTCTGAGTTCTCGCATAGCGACCTGAGTGCGCTATGCGAGAGGTTTGGAGTCTGATGTATGCTGCGACTCAATTTGCTATGTGAATTAAGGTGTGCGTTGTGCGACTCCTGTCGGGTCAAGTCTTTTCTTTTGATATCTTTGATTTGATCAATTGCTTGGAATGCATAGTATGATGTGATTTATGTGGGAAGTACGTGAATGTATGAGAATATTCAACAATGTGATGTATGGTTAAAGAAAAAAGATATATGGTTAAGAGTATGGTGGATTGACGTAATTCCATGATCTTCAAGGAGAAGATTCATGGTGGTGCAATAGTGTTTAGAATGATCTACAAGGAAGCTCAATCTTGGGGGTTATCCTGACACTCCAATGGTCTTTCATTCTCAAGTAGAGAGGATTGAACCATGTGGTGAGGAGTAGCAGGAGGTCTTAATCTTGGAGGCTTCCAGTATGCCTCAAGGCCCGGAACAGGCTAACCTCGTGAGTGTGGTAGGATGGGGAACCCAAGTTTCATAAGCCACCATGAGTGCATGACCTGCCATAGCTCGGTAATCATTCTAATTCCGGACGAGTCAAGTCTAGTTTATGACATGTTCTTGGGATTATTTAACTTGCTCGGCTTAAAGTATGTATTTGATGAATTGTTTATTCTAATATAGTATGCTTGTTGTAAAACTAGCTCACTCTTCTTCTTGTGTTTGTCTGTTGTTTGTGTCGTGTTTCTGTTGCAATGATCATCCACTTGGATGTGAGCAGAGGTGGATGAGGTACCCCTGGAGCAGGCCCTGGATGGTGTTGATGTTGCAGCTTAGTTTGTTTAGGATTTCTTAGTTAAGTTATACTATCTTGAAGTACTCTTATGGGTGTTTAAAGTTTTAAATGATAGTCATTTTTGGGATGACTGTAATTATTAAGACTTTAGCTGCAAGTTTGACTCCTAATTGTTCTCCTATATTAGAATTGTGGACTATCATAATATATATTTGTTATATTTTTGGGATGTTACAACCTGTACCTAGGGTTATCCTACATATTGATTTGAAAATGCGAACAGTGGTGGAAGGGTGGTAAGTAACTTAAAATGTTATTTAAAGATATTTATAATATGTAAATATACTAAAATTATATATTTAACTTAATATATTTTATAGTATTATTAAGAAAATAATTGTTTTCAATTTTAAATTTATTTTTTCATATGATACTTTCATAAATATTTATTTATGTTTATAGCTTATATTCATTATCTAGTTTTATATTGACTAAAAGAAAGTGTGCAACATTAATCAAATCATTTCTATGATGTTAATTTTTACATATTAGTATAGTATAATAATATTTACTTTTTTACTTTTTTTTATTATTATTTTTTAATTTTATTAACGTGAATAAAACAACCAGAATATCGTTTAATTAAATTAGAATTTTTCACTATGTACAATTTCTTTTGCGAAAGACTAAATTTTCATAAGTTTTTTTTTTTTAATTTTATAGGTTTTTATTATTAGAATTCTACTTTTTAAAAACGAATTAATAGAAATACTTTTTTAGTTTTATAAATGTGTATATTTATTTATAATAAATTACTTTATTAAAAATCTATAATTTTTTTATAAACTCGGGTGAATATGAATTTAAAAAATATATTTAATTTAATATTTATAAATTTACTGAGAATAAAAATTTTGAGGAGTGATTATAATAAATAAGATAATTTAAATGTATTATAATGATGGCAATAGAAAAAATTATCATAATAAAATATTGTAATTATGGTTGTTTTTTGTAAAATTAATTTTGATAAATGTATATTTATATGGTTAAAATAAGTTATGTAATATATTTTGGTGTGTAATAATTTTGAAAAATAAAATTAAAAATTATGATTGTGGTAGAAATAATTGAAAAGAAATTTAATGTAAAGTTAAAAATTAGTAATCTGAATGTAAAACATTTAGGTTTATTTATAAAAAAAATTACTTAAAAGAAATATTTAAAAAGTATAGAATATTTTTTGTAATTTATTTATTT